CAAGGATTCTAAAAGGACGTTTAATTAAATCAATTTCATGATTTTAATAATATTTATGAGAATATATAAAACGTAATTATAATATTATATGTATATACAAAAATATTTTAAATGATTAATTTGTTTTTCCAAAATAATGTTTTAATTTTCAATAATTTTCTTTTGCTATATAATTTATATAAACTATTTTTTAATAGATTTTTTATATTTTAACTTTAGTCAATTTTTTAATTATCAGTACACAAATATTACGTATTAATAATAATTTATATTTCTATTCATGCACATTAAAAAATGTTCAAATAAAATAGAAAGATTTGAATTTGTAATTCTCGAACGCTTTCGATATATCGAAAATACTCGATTTAAGATAATAAATCGATATTGCACACATTTCTATGTACTACGTAGGTAGCGTGTATGTATATTAAATAATTTTGACGCGTAATGCTGTGATGTTTAAATGTGACTTTTATTGTTTCTTTTTCCCAGGAAATTAATTAAGTAAATAAGTAAGGGATTGACGGAATGCATAATCACCGGATATCCAGGTCTTGGAACGGTGCTTTTTAACATACAAGTGTCATGTTGAAAACAACATTAATTGACGTATATCTATATTTAGATACCGCTATGCATTATGTGAGTGTCGTCTTTTTTTAATTTTGTTTCTTTTTCTTTTTTATCATTTTTTACTTCATTAATACCAAAGTTTTTAATGAATAATAATTGTTCTATGATATTATGATAACATGTATCAATTACTCAATTATTCTGTCTTTTTTTTCTGTATAGGTTATGTGCGTATAGGTTATGTTTTCATAAAAGTATTTTTCTTGCAAGTTTTCTTTGATGTAAATTTTCTTTGATGTAAATTTTCTTTGATGTAAATTTTCTTTGACGTTATTTTTTAACACATCGCGATGTATTATTTATTTTAGATATCTTTTATTTGATAGTTAAGGTACGCGCGTTGATTTGTTTTATGTAAAAAGTATTATTTTATATAAAAGTGTATCTAGAGATTATGTACGGAATTGCTACAATTTTGTTATCATAATTTGTTTATTGTGTTTGCCTATCATAAATTCATAATTTTTACTTGCCAATGATTTTTCTAAAGATATCAGAAATAAAGCTCACATAAGTTTGTGACAAGTCAAAGGCTCTCATTTTTAAATAAAATTTTAAATACATTTTAATGTAAGCAATAGGAACATCGAATACAAGTTTCTATTGTTACTTTATAAAACAGTAGAATTTTTAATATAATAATAACTTTTGATTCTATCGCTGAATGATTTATGTTTTTAGTGTTTACAAAATTAGAACTTATCATATGGCATTGTGATAAAGCTTGCAAGACCGTTTGAAGTCCTATGTATCTAAGTCTTTTAAAATTATCAAAAAAGTAGAGAAGAAGTAACTTCCTTCATTAAAACAAGAGAAGCGAATAAGAAAGATCTATGCTTTAGAAGAGTCGAGTAAAAGGTAAGAATTAGTACGTTATACATGTTATAGAAATTAACAAAGACCAATAACATAAATGTTTCATAAAGTTTATATAAAAAGTAATAAATTTCAAGCTGAGTCATATTAGCGGAATACATATTATTTTTGTACGTATAAGCGCTAATCATGTAATACATGGTGCGACTGAATAATAAAGTCATGCGTTGACAAAGTAAAATATACATTTTTAATGAAATTTGATCATTGTCCTATTTTGTGGGTATTGTAGAGATGCATTCCGTTTAATGTCTATTTTATTTCTTATATTTTTTTTTTTAACATAATTATATATATAAAAATCATAATAATAGTAATAGTACAAATTCTTCTATTAAATTTATATAAATTTGAGTAAGCAAATAATATTCCGTTACTTTCTGATTTTCTGTTTATTCAAAAGTTTCGTTGATTTGAATTGTATATTGCTTTAGAAAATAGAATTTATGATTAGTGAACTTTGAACATATTTTTATAGTTTTATGAAAATCACATGCAAATTACTAAAGGTTCTGTTGTACATTTTTAAAAAAATTGTTCAATGTGTACGTTTTTTTATTACAGTTTTATAGATTGAAAGGCGGTAAAAATATTTACTACTAATATTCGCAACTATAGAATTTTAGTTTCTTTTCGTTGGCTGATTGTAAATTATATAATATGTTTTTTGTAAGCAATTATCTTTTCATTGAGTTATTGCTATATTTAATTTGTTATATGTTTGTAGTATTATACAAGTTTAATCTTACGGTTGTATAAATCCGATAGTATGTTAAATTATTAGCATTAAAACAATAAAATAACATTAATAGAATGATGGTTGTTGTATAATGACTTTTCATTTCTTTCTTCTATCAATCTATACAAATACACACATACAAACATGCATATATACGTACGTAGAGTGTTAGGTATATACATATGTAGTGTATCGCGTTATTGTGTAATCAACGGAACATTTTGAGCATAGTAATCAGTGCACGTTAATGAAAAGTGATATCGTTCTACGAAATAAATTTCTTCACTATTTTAACGCTATTAGCACGCTTTTTATTACCAGTTCTAATATTTATGGAATTAGGTATTATTTTTGTCTTTTTTAATTGTTTCTTTTTTTTCTGCTTCCCCTTTTCATTCTTCAATTTATTCATATTGTTCAAACATTCCTCCGAATTGGAACTATCGGACACAGGTATCGCGAATGATTTCAATTGTTGTATCGTACGAATTTTAGTTATTTTGTTTCTAGCAATTATTCTTTCGGTCGTTGCTACGTTTTGATGATGCGATTTTATTCGCGTTTCTAATTTTTGTTGCCTTCGTTCTTTCTTTGCCGGTGTATTGCTCGTAAACAATTTTAAAGAATCAGCTTTAATGGGTAGAAATGAACTTTTATTGTTACCGTTGTTGTCTTTGATGGTCGAATTTAAATTCACAGCCATTTCCCATTTCAATCGAGAACGTTCCATCTTCGTTTCTTTGACTTTCTCATCCTTACAATTATTATCTCCGACATCTTTCTTATACTTTGATATTGTTTGCTCGTTTACTAGAATATTTTGTTTCCTGCGGGATTTCTTTTTCGGTTTTCTTTTTTCCGAGGTTTTCTCATAATGATCGAGCAATTTTAATTTTTCTGTACTCGACCTAAAAACGAACAAATATTATAATTAAATTAATTATAATTGGATCAAGTTATAAGAACAAGAATCTATCAATCTTTCATTATCCGAAATTTAATTTACACAGATTTTAATTAATAAAACAATAAAAATTAAAAGAAACTTTATTTCTATTGAGTATAAGATTGTTGTTTTACAAACTTTTTTTAATTAACAACATTATTTAATGGTTAATAGTATAATAGTTAATTTATAAATTTACTAATTGCATTATAGTTTTAATAATTATATAATTTAAGTTATGTCAATTGTAATTATTTGACCACATTAAATGACCACAAAATTATGTATAGTTTCTGTATAACTGTATTGAATAATTTGTTACCATTTTAAGAATTAATAGATCCGTGCATAATTTGATACAAATAATTAAACCAACAAAATAAAAAAGAAAAACCAAGTTCATATCATTTTAACCTGAGGAATATTTCACTTTTGGAATTACAACTCGTTAAAGCTAGGCTAGATATTCCCCAACTCAATGGTACTCTTCCGAAATCATTATTGATAACAGTCATGCCATTTTCCGTATTACGAATTGGTATTCCCATCCATATTTGTTGTCTAAAAGATGAAACTTTCCTTTCGACGGATGCTGTTGAAGGATGATGTTTCAATTTCCTATAATAAACAAATAAAAAATTATATTTTTTACACATAGTATAAATACATTTTTTTCTACGCTTTTGTTTTTTAAAAGCACCTTGACATACGATGACAACGCATTCGTTGTTGAATTTTTCTATGCTCATCATCGAGCAATAAATTTTCACCTAATGATAAACTACGTGGTCTAATTATTGAAGGAAATAAAGAACATTCTGTTGTACGTTCATTTTTTTTCATTTCTTCTTCGTTTCTTTCTCGCAAATTGAGGGTATTTTCTCTTTCTCTGTGTCTTCTAATCCTTGCTGAAAAATTTGTACGTTTTAATCAATTTTCGTGATTATATATTAAATACTCGATGATTCACCTGTTGCCTTAGATCGATCATCGTCAATCCAATCTGTCATGTAATATAAATCACTTCCTGGATCAGTTGTATGCAAATCCATGACTGTTCTAGATTGCTATAAATAATAATAAATAGTCTAAATTTATAGGATTATAAATTATCTTTTTTTTAATTGATTTAGAGGCTTAAAATTTATATCATAAATGATTTCCTTTCTTTGAAATTTTTATAGGGTCCAAATATAAAGAATTGCAAATAATTTGTTTTCGGAGATTGTCATGGGAAGGGGAAGGGGGAGTTTAAATTTATAGAATTTGAAAATGATTATAAATTGTGTTATAGTAATTTTACCAACAATTTCTTGCGTTCCAAATACTTTCGTTCCATCTCCCTCGTTCTTATTCTCCTTTTTAATAAATTCATGCTTCCAGTAGAACCAAAATTAGGAGATGGAGGTGGTGCTGGATGAACTTCGTTTTGTACTTCATTGTAAGGATTCGTCATCGATTCATCCGATGCATGACTTTCCGAACTTTCTCCTTCGTCGCTAGAAAATGATTTCCATTATGCTAATAATTTGTTAATATTCAATTAAAAAAAAAAAAAAAACACATTCAAATACCTAGAATAATCGGTTAAATCGATATTCGTAGGTTCTTCGGCATTTGATCCTTCTTTGATCAATCTCGTTAAAATTTTGGTTCGTAATCTCTCCTATTAAAACAAAACAAAACTAACAAGTTGTTTTTAGAAACCTCAGTCAACATTCGTAAATCTTCACAAACTTCTTTTCATTAACGACAATCACCTTGACCGGATCTTGATCAGAAAAATCAAGGAGTGTTTCGCAAAAGGCTTTACCGATCTGTTCGTAATCCTGTGTCGAAAAATGTGTGCCAGATCTCGATCCTAATCTGGATCCACCCATTGAAGCTTCCATCGTGTAACTGTTTTGTACACCCATTGACCAAGCCACAACTCTACCTGTACCTTCCTTTCCTTTCTCTACGTGAAATTTACAATTTTCGAAAGAAAACTATAAAACAAAATCAAATAATTAAATTTAAACAATTAAAGAAATTTTATAGAATGTCAACTTGTCCGTCCTTCTCTTTTTTCATTTTTTAAATTTGCAATCCAAACAATTTTTTTTTCCCATTTTTATATTTTCCTTTTTTTTATTTCTGATGGATAATTTTTAACCTCAAGTTTCTAACCTTGTCAGCAGCATTTTTATGAAGCATTAAAGGAAAGATTTGTTCAGAGAGTTTAGCGTTACATCCAGTTCTTTTGCTTTCGCAACCATAAGCAAAGATATTATGCTTCCTAGAATGAGCATGAAGGTCACAGTAAATCGTTACTCCACATTCCTCGAGTAGTCTTCGTATCATCAACTTCGTATGCCAAACTGACGGAAAACTTTCACGCATTACTGTTCTATACTGTCTATTCAAATCTTTACCGGATAGAGAACATCTATTATTACCAACTATAACTCCATCAGGATTTAACATTGGTATCAGTTTGAACACGAATCTCTCTCGTAATTCCTATTTACATTATTAGTTTTTATCTCATATTTTTTATTGAGCAAATTAATACAAAAAAAAATAGAACTTTAGTTTAGTATTTGTTTTACCTTGGCACGATTGGATTCGCTAGTTAGAAAATCAATGATACCCTTCATAGTCCAACTAGACGGTGTTTCACCGGGATGAACTCTGGCCGTGATTACAACTCCACGTTTTCTTCGTATTTCCTCGTAATAAGTTGGTGCTGTTATTGTTAAATAATATACACCATTTCCAGCCAATGTACGACATAATAATCGTAATTTTGTAAATCTTGATTTTACTGGATCGCTTACTATTTTTGTTAAATATTCCTGATAATCAAAATAATTGCACTGGAGATTTAATTAATCGGTTATTAGAAAATGAATAGTAAATATTATTTACCTGTAAATCTGTATATGTATATGGATAACAATATGCTAAATAAACTATGTCATGATCGTGTGGGAAGCATATGTTAAATGTTAAAGTATGTTTTTCCTTTTCCTCGTCGCTGTAAAATATTTGTTTAAAATTATTTTTTGATAATTTAAAATTTTTTTAAATGTTTGATTTTTAACTTACGATTCGGCATTTTTGTAATAACTAATATTCTCTCCACATCTTCTCCATCCTATCGATTTAGTTCGAGCATCTTCAGTAGAATACAAAAGTGGCCTAAGTCCTTCGTTATATAAACTCTCATCCTTACACATATTCACAATCGATAATCTATTTGTAAATAAATATTTAATATATTTTTGCATTTTTAAATTTACAGAAGAAAAAAAATTTCTATATTGTTTATTAAAACGCCTGTAATTAATTCATATACATATTAACGATCAATAATTTAAACATTTCAATATTATTGTTACCTGTAGGTAATTCTGCTTCTTGTATTAGATATTTGAAAATAATACCATTGGGTGTGTCTCTGAGTATAGAGATCCCTTCTCAAATAAAGTTGATAATAAGTGTCACTTATTTTAACAACCTTTCCAAGATTACCAGATTCGAAACGTGACTCGAATCTTAAATCGCTATTGGCATCGGTAATGAAAAACATGTTGGCGGTGTTGTTCTCGTCCTTGGAAGATGGTAACGTGTATTCGTTCCCTGAATTCGTTTCCTTGAAAGTTTTATTGGAAGACGATAGGATTGGGTTTCCACCGACACATGATCTACTAAACTGTCAAGATTAACATCCTAATTATTTGAATCAAATTGATCAACGCGTGAATTAGTTGATTGATGATTAGGATTAATTAAGTACTTACGTAATTGGTAACATTAGTTGGGCAGTATCGAAATATAACAGTACCTAACTCATCATCTATTGGTTTTGGTGATGGTTCTTTCCCATTTGATAAATAAAACGGTTCTGGGTTCACCGGGTTATATTCTATATGACGAATCCTTTCTGGGATTACCTGGAATAAATACAATTTTATTACGTAACATTAATTCAACAAGATAATTATTCAGTTGATCATTGATTTGATTATTATTGATTTTTGTATTTTTTTCTTTTTTTATTTACTTGACATTCCGTTGGCCAACGTGCCATTTCTTGAACAATATTGTCCACGATACATTGCGAGCTTAATGCTCTAAGTGTTTCCTTTGCGTTTTTATTTTTCGTCGAGTCCAGGGATCTTGAAAATAAACTCAATTCGATGCTATCGTTTAAAAGCTTACAACGTTCCAATATTTGTGATTCGTGTGGCGTTTGTAGACTCGTTAATGCTGTACCTGTAAATTATTATTATTTTGTAAACAAATATAATTTATACAAAAAGAAAAAAGAAACATTAATTTGCGATTAACATGTTTTTGAATGATTTTTGATTTTTTAAAAATACAAAAGTAATAAAAAGAAAAAGAAAACTGCAAGATCTCGGAAAAAGTTTAACAAATTTTAGAACGATTTACGAGCCTAAGAAAAATAAAGAAATACAAATAAATTGTAAAAATTGAGTAAAAGCTTAACGAGTTTCTAAATATAAAGAAATAAAGTTATCGCAAAATGTTAAAATGACAGCTAAAAGTTTTTCGCGTAGGTGGTACACCACAAAATAGTCGATAGTTGCACTTCATCTAGATAAGGGTACAACGTACTAACGTTCACGACCTCAACCATGAGTTGTATAGTTACATGGAAATGTGTATACACATATACTGATGCACACACACATATTATCCAAGACTCACTTCTTACACACTTTAAACACGCGAGATAAGATACTTAGAAAATGATCGATATTTTTAATCATTCGTATAGAAATAAAAAAAGAATTTATTTGCTTGGAAGCAATTGAATTTTTTTTTATATAAAATAATAAATTCATTAAACCCACCAGTAATTGACTGAATTGGGAACAACATTGCTTGATGTTCACGTATTTTATTAGACGATAAAAGATTTGTCATTTTTTGTTATTTCTCATCTTCCACGTAATCGTCATCCTTCTTTCAATCATCGTCAATAATTTCACGATCATTTTGATATTTTATTAAATTCGACATTTTTTTCTTAGAATTAAGAGGATTGTTAAAGATAAACAGTTTGGCATTTTTTCGCCACTTCTTTGAACACAAATTATGTTTTTTTTATGTTTTTATAAAAAAAAAACTTTTATCGTAGATTTTTTTCAACTAAAGCACTAAAAATGTTAAACAAAAATTATTTCACATGTAAGAGTCAAATTTAAAAAGAACAATCACGATAAAATTGACAAGAAATTGATTTAATAATATCTCATAATAAAAAACAATCCTTTAAATAATTTGTTTTTAAAGTAATGCAATATATTTGTTTTATTTATATTTTTTTAAGAGAAAAGCTGTGATTTAATTTAAAAAATAATTGATTTTTGCTATTTAATAAGATCTTATAATATTATAAAAGTATGATTAATAATAATTTATTATCAAGCAATTTTAATCCGATTCGAAGAAAAAATGTTAATAGAATGTAAAAGAAACAAATAACATTTACTTGCCACTAATGTAAGTAAAGTCACGTAGAGTCGATAATAGAAAACAGGGTGTTATCATTGTTCGTTAGAATAGTTTTAGCCAACTGAGAAGAAGCCACGAGCTGAAGAGGAGAGATTTGTGGAATATAGTCATGTATTGCCTGACAACGGTCGTGCATTAGGGGCGGAGTCACTGCCATTCTGATTCTTTGCTATACTTTCCTATCTCGATTCTACTTTATACATTTTTTTCATCAAACCTTTTTCTCAATATAAATTTTAAAAAAACCTTGAAACTAATCAAATTTAATTAGGGATCATGATCGAGATCAATCTTGATCGATCTTGATCAACACAGTCTATTATTTATATATATATAATTTATTTTATTATTATTATTATTTATTTAATTAATGTAGATTTATAAATTAAAAAAGAAAAAGAAAATTTAAGAAATTATTTGATCATCAAAATCGATTAATTTTACTGTACGTGCATACAATCATAGTATGCACTGATTGATGAACTGTAAGAAACGTCTAACTCATCATACAAAACTCCAATTAGTTGATGTGTATGCGTGTGTATGTATATAAAGCAATCTGCCTATTGTTCGTTTACCTCGCGGTACCGGGTTCTGAAAGTTATTGATCAATCAGAGACCACCAAACATACTAAGAGTGTGTGTACAGGGATTCCATCGAGTATAATTTTCTTTACCTTGTTTTATCGATTACATATTGACAAGTCTATTATTTTTTATATAAAATATTGCTAAATATTATAGTTGTCTTTTATAGGAATTGATACAATCCTATTATTGATTGATCGTAGTCGAAGTTGAACTTCAATATTCTTCTTTTTGGTTTATATTATTTTTATGAACAATTCCAGCAGGTAAGAAAATTAAGTGACAAGAAAAACATAAAAAATGGGTCGGAAAGTAACTGTAGCTGCTTGCACGTTGAATCAATGGGCCATGGACTTTGATGGGAATTTTCGAAGGATTCTTCAAAGTATAGAAGAAGCTAAAGCTGCTGGTGCAACTTATAGAAGTGGTCCCGAATTAGAAATTTGGTGTGTAGAAAATTTGATTATTAAGGTATAATAATTGTTGACTTGAGATTATTTACTAATTAAGTTATATTTCTTTTTTTTGTTCAGTGGTTACAGTTGCGAGGATCACTTCTACGAATCTGATACGTTGCTACATTGTTGGGAAGTTTTAGCAATGCTTATGAAATCCAGTGTTTGCGAAGATATTTTGATAGATGTTGGGATGCCAGTGATGCATAAGAATGTAACTTATAATTGTCGAGTTGTATTTTTAAATTCGTCTGTTTTGTTAATCAGACCAAAAATGCTGTTATGCGAGGATGGAAATTATCGTGAGTCAAGATGGTTCTCTCCTTGGACTAAGGTAACTCCTGCTAACATATTTAATAATTTCAAATAAAATAATATTTTCATATTAACGTCCAGTAGCACCGCGTTGGTGTTGCAAACAAATTAATTAATTTATTTATTTATTACCAATTTAGGAACGTACTGTTGAGGACTATTTTTTACCAAGAATGATTTCTCAATTAACTGGACAAAATGTTGTACCTTTTGGTGATGCTGTGATATCAACAAAAGATACATGCCTAGGTTTCGAAATGTGCGAGGAACTTTGGAATCCACGTAGCAATCATATTCCAATGTCTCTGGATGGCGTTGAGATAATAGCTAATGGTCGTAAATTTAGCATCTACATCAATTAGTCTTCTCATTATCATAATCAACATTTGATATATTTTCCAATAGGAAGTGGTTCTTATTTCGAGCTTCGTAAAGGATATGTCACAGTAGATCTCGTTAAATCAGCTACATTTAAATGCGGTGGTTGTTACATCTTCAGTAATTTACGTGGATGCGATGGCGCAAGGCTTTATTTTAATGGTGGTTCCGGTATTTTTCTTAATGGATATATTTTAAATCGTGGCAAACAATTTGCTTTGGAAGAAGTCGAGATTACTGTCGCTACGTTTGATCTGGAAGACATAAGGTTAGCAAATATAATAATAAATTCACAATTTATGATTTTATTTGAAGATATTACAATTACTAATTTTGTATCTTTTGTTTTATAGAAGTTATAGAAATAATATTAGGTCAAGATCACATTCGGCGGCACGTTCGGAATCGTATCCACGTGTCAAAATAGATTTCGTTCTTTCTGCGGCGAACCTGATTTCACCAAATCCATCTTACAAAATCATGAATATGGAACAGAATATATTAGAGAATATGAATGGAATGTTAAACGCGTCTTATCATACACCGGAGGAAGAAATTTCTTTGGCACCTGCTTGTTGGCTTTGGGATTACCTAAGGTATACTCGTTAATATTTATAAGTTAACTCATTTGTATCCGAGCTCTAGATATTCTACTAATTTCATAAATCATATTTTTCAAATAATTCTAAATAATATTTTGTTCTCTTTTTAAAGACGCTCTTGTCAAGGTGGATTTTTCATACCTTTAAGTGGAGGTATTGATTCATCTTCGTCAGCTTGTTTGGTCTACAGTATGTGTACTTTGATAGTTGAATCTGTTAGCAAAGGAAGTAAGCATTTAAAATTACTTAATATCAATTAAACTAAATAATTATTAAATTTAATTGAACGATATATTTTAATATTAGATACACAGGTGTTGTCAGATATTAGAAAAATTGTTGGCGATTGTGAGTACACACCGACTGATCCCAAACAACTTTGTAACACCTTACTGGTTACGTGTTACATGGGAACTGAAAATTCATCTGCTGAAACGAAAACAAGAGCAGCCGAATTAGCGAAACAAATAGGGTCTTATCATCATAATATTGTCATTGATACCGCTGTCTCAGCTATTTTAGGTATATTTCAGCAGATAACGAAAATAGTGCCGAGATTTAAAGTACATGGTGGTTCTCCGAGAGAAAATCAAGCTTTGCAAAATATTCAAGTGGGCCTATTTTCATTAATTGTTGCACATGCTCTTTTGATTATTTTTATTATAATGTAATATAATCGTATGTTATTAATATTTATAGGCACGTTTACGTATGGTTATTACTTATTTATTCGCACAATTGATGCTCTGGATCCGAGGACGTCCAGGTGGTCTTCTAGTACTTGGAAGCACAAACGTTGATGAGGCACTTCGTGGCTATGTGACTAAATATGATAGCAGTAGTGCAGATATTAATCCTATTGGTGGAATATCTAAAAACGATCTCAAACGATTTATTTTGTATTTTAGGTAATTATAGGATAATCGAATACTAATCTTACGTCACACATAAGAAAGTGATGTTTCTTGTTAATTTATTTTAATTTTAGAAAGAAGCATGGATTGTCAGCTTTAGATGATATCTTAGAATCACCACCAACGGCCGAATTGGAGCCATTGCAAGATGGAAAACAAACTCAATTCGACGAAGTAGAGATGGGTATGACGTACAACGAATTAGAAACTTTTGGAAAGCTTAGGAAACAGTATTGTGCTGGACCCTATAGTATGTTTTGTCGACTCGTTAATACTTGGAATCATTATACACCCAAAGAGGTGAATTATATCATATATTTTATCAATACAATGTTTATAGTAATTGTGATTAGATTGTGAAAGCCAAATATTTTCATAGAATTTCAAATATTTAAATTTGTGTTAATATTACAGGTTGCCGACAAAGTTAAACTTTTCTATCGCTGTTATGCGATACATCGTCATAAGATGACCATACTAACACCTTCTTGTCATATCGAAAATTACAGTCCTGATGACAATCGTTTCGATCATCGTCAGTTTCTTTACAATCATACATGGAAATGGCAGTTCAATGCCATTGAAGAAGAGGTGAACCTGTATCAAAATTTAATTAATTTATTCTAAAACGAATATTGAATGATTAGAAAAAATGTATTCGCATCCTGTAAAAATGTGATCAATGAATTTTTGTACTTATTTATTTGTTTGTGTTGCTGTATTTGATGTGAAATAATTGAATACAGGTAAAACGAATGAGCACGGAGGAGCACACAACCAGATCGAAGACAGACGCACCTAAAGTGCCAGCTAGGTCGAGAATCATCCCGTTCAACTCTGTAATTAGTAGTGAGTAAACACAACAAAAAATCAACAACAACAAAAACAACTATAACTACAACAATAAACGACAGACAGACAAATCAATAAGACGTGTGAGTCTTCGTTATTAAAATGAAGATCTCTGACGATCTAATGAATTTATTTTAAAATAGTCTGAACAAAAACAGGCATTGGTGAAAAAAAAAAGTAAAATAAAAATAAAAATACAATTCATCGAAAAAAGAGGCGCAGCAGATAAAAAGTTTGACGAGTATAAACGAAAATCGAGGAATTTGGATCATCAGTGCTCGATCATTCTCTGTTCCAGATAAGAAACATCCCGGAGTAATAGTTTAGTAGCCGTAGCTCTATCTCTTATCATTTTGACATTGCAGTGTCAACCAGTGGAAAAAAGAATGGGACCGTGTGCTGTTGCAATGACTTGGAGAGAAAAATATTGCTTACAAGAAAGATGTCCCATATATTTTTCAAAAAATAAAAATGATTTAAAAGGATAATATTTTTATGCAAAAAAAATAAAAAATAATAAAAACAAATATATGATTACTGATAAGCATAAAGATTAGATTTGTCTCTTTCTTTTGATTAAAATAAAAAAGAATTCAATATGTTAGAATAATCTTATTCTTACCCAATAAAAATAATATGCAATATTATACTTACTTTGTTCTAATATAGAAAAGTAATATATATGTTACCGTCAAAGCCGGAAATAATTAAATAACACTATTAACAGTTATCAGTTCGTATTAGCAAGTTACTAATAATTTGAGAATATGCATATATAACATATATAATTTTATTGTCCCTTTGTTATCTGCGTACAAAGAACGTAACCGTTTTAACCATTAGAACATTGAGCAGTTGTGTTCTTCCTAAGATCTATCAAAAGTATTTAAATGATATTTCAGCACGCAGTGAATTGAATGTGTTAAACAATCCTCTCTTTCATCTCTGACTCTCTTACTTTGTATATTAGATAGTATATATATATATATTTAATCATGCATACCTATGAGTCCATACACCAACACGCATGCACATGCATTTCTTTCGTAGACTGTCTATGAATTTATATATATATATATATTGCATCTTTTATATATAATGTGGTATCATTTTGTTTTTCATTTTTGTTTTTTTTTTTTTTAAATATCTCTGAGTCGTTTTTCATTTCTCTTATAATTATTTCGTGCTAACAGTCGATTTTTTTCTTTTTTTATTTTAAGATATAACGACGATAAATATTTATATAATAATATATAATAAAATCAATATAACACCAGAATTATTATAAAACGGTTTCGATTTTCTTCAGGGTGATAGAGTTTCATTTTTATACGTATTCATTATCGTTCTGTGTTTTCCTAAATTGGATGCATCTAGGCATTACGACGATAATTAATAAACCTATACATATAATTAGTACAAAAATAACGACGAGATGTGACAATGATAACGACGACAATGATAATAAGATTAATAATGATATGATATTAATAATATTATTAATATTAATAATAATAATAGTAATAATAATAGTAATAATAATAGTAACAT